TACAAAGATCCTCTATCTATTGATGTAAGCTATGTTATGCTAATGTCAGACTTTATCAACATTAGCTAGCATAAATTAATAGAGATCTAGCAGAAAGCAACAAGTTATTATTCAATGATTAACTAATTGTTCACCATTTGAAGTTCTAGCGAGCAAGAAAATTTTGCATAGAAGTAGAACAAAGTAAATTTTCAAAAGTATTATTGGGTATTTACTTCAAAAGAAGAATATGATAGTGTTTGACTTTACGGGACCCATTCATGTGTAATTGATATCAGAATTTCGCTTGGAACAAAGTCCAGGTTTTCTATTGAATCATATGAAAATCGCTAGAAAACAATACTTCGCTAGAGATGTTACAAACATACTTTTGTTTTTGCAAAAAAGTCTAAGATATAAAACGTTTAGTCATGATCCATACAGTAACCATAACTCTTTTTGCTGTCGATGCAATCGGAATTGTTTTATTTCAGCTAATAGCTTGAATTCTTCTCTAAAAAAATGTGTGTTTCAGTCAATTGTCTATATATGTATTCATGTGGGTAATGTTAGTTTACACACAGGGGTCGAAACTTCTGAACCACCGTTTACTATGATTTCATACTCCGCTTAATAGATAAAGGATAACATACAAATGAATCTTTTAATATTTCCATCTCTAAATATTCCTTTAATCGTTTTACGATCAATAAAAAATCAAAAATATTAAAGAAAATAAACAAACTACAATAACAAGATTGAAATTTTTTAATAAGAATGATATACCAGCAATATCTTCTATTATTTCTAGTTGATATCTACTCAAATTTTATCAGACGATTTATATTATAAACATGATTGAATATTGAAAGATACAGTTTGAGACGAAGTCAAATAATATATTCTTTCAATAAAATGAGTATACAAAATTTTATTTTTCCAAAGCAAAAAAAAACAACTGAAGTCAATTCAGTTATTCTTGATTAGTAATATTTATCTCACAAAAATATGTTATATCAAAACCATCAATTTTTAATAAGCAACAATTATTTTATAATAAAAATAAACATGATATTTTGGTTCTCATTCGAACTTTTCTTTATCTTAGCGATAAACAACATAAAAGATCAAATAAGAATCACTGATTAGAAGTTGTTTTTTGAAATGAATCAATAGGTAATGATAATTGTTCACCATGTCGATTTTCAACTAAACGAAAATAGCGAACTGGTATAAAACCATTTTCATTACCCGGACAAAGTATAACATTATTATTTGATACAAAGAATTTAAAACCATCTAAGAAAAAAGTCAATCAATAATTCATTAAAAAGAAAAACGAAATCCAACTATTTTATCAACAAACCTGTCAATGCTTTTTTCATATCGATATAAATATATAATTCAGCGTTTGATCGCATTCCTGTTGAAATAAAAAAAGTCATCTTTATAATTATTAAATTAAATTAAATTAATTCGACATACCACTAATAACACCTGATTGTTTAGGTAATCCAGGAGCAAAGTGAATATGTGTGCGATTCATTTTTGATAGTCCCTTTAAAAAAAAAGCAAACACACGAAAAATAACAAAATTACGAAAAACAATTTTTGTATTATACTTTATCTCTAATCGATGGCCAATGTCTCATATAAGTTCCATGTAATACGGTAGGATATTCATCTGGATCTGTTATTTCTCTCATATCAACGTTAGCTTCTTCTAATGAATGACCTTGATGTGCACGAATCATTTCTTTACCTGTTATTTCATCTATTTTAAGACCGAAACGTTTTTTTTCATTTATTGCAACACATTGATGAATATCATCGATTGTATATTTATTAGCAAATGATCGATGTTGAAATACATCATCAACAAATACATAACCATCGGATTGAAATTGTAAACCTTCTTTTATAACAGCATGACGAAGAAGCCAAGATAGAGCTTTGGATAGTTGAATTAATTTTCCATTAGAATTACCAGATGCACCTCGATTCTATTATAAAATCAATAAAAACAAAATATAAATTCATTAATTAATTGAACTCACACCACGAGAACGTTGAAAATTTCTTGCTGCCATATGATCTAGAATAAGACGAGTAATTGTTATGTTTTTTCGCATGTATAATCTAGTTTTATACCTAAAGCAAAAAAAATTACCTTATTCATACGGAAAGAACTATGACTCAGTATTGCACAATATTTCGATGAAGGTAAGAAAGAATATATGTGTTCTCTTAACAAAAATAAACATTCAATTACTCATTATATATAATAACATAAATGTTAATTAGCTATAGTAAGAAAAAATCTTCCTATAAATTATTTCATTGCATAACGTCATTTTCATTACAAAATTGTATCATACTAAATTTTTTTCCAAATGCAGATGGTTTTGTTAAAAGCCTATATCTAGTTCAAAGTGATCAAGCACGATGACGAAAATGAAATATTAATCTTTTCTAAAGATCTCAAAAATAATGACGAAATATGTTCTTCTCTTTTATCATGCTTACAATGATACATAAATTAGTAATATGACATACATTATTGATTTTATTATCTAGTTTGAAGTTTAAAGAAAATAGCTAAGTACATTAGCTTAAGATTTCAGTAATAATCTCTTATAGAAATAAATTTCTGAAAAAAAAGCTATTAGCGCAATCCCTATGGGGTTAAAATGTAAAAGACGATATAGCTGCTGTTGCTAATCGAAGGAGATTGCTTTATTCTATCTATTTTGGAACACATTTTTTCATTAACCATTGCCTTAATCCTTCAGACATACAATAAAGAAATAGTTCATATATTAGAATGAGACGATCTTTGATCTTATATCGACAGTGTGTGTCATGGTTTTTGAAGCTGAGGAGAAATGTTGCTAAGACGTCTGTTAGAGTCCTACAGAATAGTTCTATCGTATCCTACAGGGTAAGGTAGAATTAGGGTGTTGTTCATATTGCTAAGAAGTTTTTGGTAAGCAAGTTTGAAGACACTCTTGACATGTTTCTGATTTAGAAGAAATCAGTTGTTATGCTAAAGTGAAATTCAGTTTTAGTAAGGAATAAACAATATTAGACTAGTGTGACTAATCATCATTGAACTACCCGCAACTTAGTGTGTTCAAAAAATGCTAATGAGAGTTCCAGCAAGTTCAGTCACAAGTTCACATACTTTCAATACAAGTGGAAGAGTTTTCAAAGACACAAGACAGATTTGAGCGGCGACATTATTAATGATATCTTATTCTTAGAAAACTTTTGTAACATGTATTAGTTTGGTATTTGATTATCGTTGGAAATAAATAAAAGATGTTGAAACATAATAAAGAAAGATTGATGTTAATGTATGCCAAAAACCGAAAAATCTTAGGATAGTGCAGTGTGTAAAATTCGAATGCGAAGTTTTTAGGGCAGCGTAGGACAAGATTAGGGAAATCGCTATAAGATGAAGTATAAGTCATGAAAAAGTTTTTCTCTACCCAACTTTGACATCTGTGGGTCCAAATTTATATCTATATACTTCAACGCTACTTTTAGATCGTATTTAACAAAATTATATAGGGATTAGAATTTTTTCGCCATGTTCTTGAATGAATTAATCCCTTGTTGACACAAAGAAAGTTTGATATTTACTAATATCAAATAATTGGTTAGTTCTATATAATCAAAACTGAAAAATACGCAAATTGATCAATCTTAAGTGATCTTTAGACAATGAATATTTTACTCAAAAACAGAAGATATTGAAACTATCTTTATTGATGTTAATTTTGAATGTTTGTAAAAAGAAAAACAATAAAACTCATTGCATGTTCAAAGAAAAGAAAAAAAAAAGAAAAGCAACAGTAAATTCTATTCAAGAAAAGTTAATTGAAATACACCTTTAGCAAATAAAACAACTTCTTGTCCACCTAATTTTGATTCACCATAAAGTCGATCAACAAATATAATTGGTACTTGTGCAATACGTAATTTTGCTTTAACAGCTCGTACAATCATTTCCATTTGAAAAACATATCCTTTCGATGTACACTGACTAATTAATTGGTCAAAAATAGATTTACGATATAAACGAAATGAACCAGTTACATCAGATATTGGTGGACGAAGTAGAAGTTGTGTTAAATAATTAGCTCCACACGATATTATTTTACGTTTAAGATTCCATCCAGCAACACCACCACCAGGTAAATAACGACTACCTGTTACAATATCATAATTACCTTCACGTTGTTTTTCAATAAATGATGGAATATAGCGTGGATGATGTGATAAATCAACATCCATTATAATAATAAAATCTCCACGTGCATATTTTGAACCATGAATATAAGCTGAGCCTAAACCTAATTTACCTGAACGTGGTTTAAGAATAATTCGTTCTGGACCTAATTGATGCTGTAATTCAATAGCAATTTGTTGTGTCCCATCAGGCGAATTATCATCAATAATAATTATTTCATGTGGTTTATCATTTAAATATTCTTCAATTAAAGCAACAACAACTGGTAAATTTTCTCGTTCATTATAAGTTGGAAGGAGAATTGAATAAAAAGGCGATTTAGACATTTTGTTTTTATTGTTTCTATATTTTTAATTCAAATCTAAAGAGTGACATGAAGGTTTTTTTATAATTCTTTAAATTTATTTCAAACAAATTTTCAATGATTCAATTACAAGGAAACAAAAGGAAACATTATGGCTTTAATAGCCTAGATGAACGATCCATCATGTATGATTTCTGTTCTTTCTTTCTCTCCGGATCGTCAATATTTTTTTTTATAAATACACACACTCATACACAATAAAGAATAAATACATTGATAGACTCATACGAACGAATACGAGTTACATAAAAACCAGAATGATGAGCATCTGTGGAAAAAAAACACGTCCAATGGTCTTTTCTTAGATTTTTCATCTGGCATTCTATACAAAAAAAAAGAGAATACAGAAAAAAAACTGCTGAAATTAACATGAAATAAAGATAATAATATGGAAATAAAGAATTAGAATAATGTGCAACATCGATTTGTTTTTCTTGCCTAAAGATAAAACAAATAAAAATTAATATATAAATAAGCAAAGAATATAGTTGTACCGTTTTATAAAATGCTTTTGCCTCGAAACTTAAATCACTTGACCGTGCAACTAAATCATCAATTTTTTCACCACGTTCAAGTACATTAACTAATGTACTTTTCTACAAATAGAATAAAAAAAAACAAAATATATCTTATTAAAATAGTTTAAATAAGAAACTTACAAGAATATCTTTTGTATCATCAAGATCTTTTTGAAGACGCATCAATGGATCAGCTTCTTGTGGATTCTAAATTCAAAATAAAATAAACAATTATTTATTTCTATACTTATATAGAAAAGTAACCTGATATTTT